TGTTGCATTTCGAACCACGTAAGCCCCTTTATTGTAATTTCAGTTTTGCTGCTTTTTTAAGAGCTCAGCTGTGTATGTGAGGACAGTCCTTTAGCATCTGAAATGGTTATTCCAATGAGGACACATAGGACATATTGAGAGGTGTGCCCTTGCACCATCTGGTCACTTTTTGTTGTATTAGTATTAGTAACTAGTATTAGTTACAAAGAACTCACCTTTTCCTCCATTTCTGCCTGAATAAATTTTGTTTTGAAAAAAAAGAATAAATACATTACAAATGAATAACCAAAGCAAGCACATTCTGCGTCATAACTGTGCAGTTACCAAGAAGAGGCATCAGCAGGGAATGATCACAAACTCTGCAATGCCAGAAGGGGTTTTATCGCATAACCTTAAATATGCAGCCTGTGGGTTGGTCCATTGGCGTAGTCTTTGGTAGTGTCTGACATGACTGCTGCTTAATCATTGTGGTACAGTTCTTGCATTAAATGTCTATTTTTGATGTGTCTTCCTTTCTATGAGCCCGGTCCCCTGCCTCCATGGGGCTGCCTATGAAACAAAATTAACTTAAGATTCTTCTAGAAGCTGTTGCTTCCTGTGCTGTAGACCTGAGGAACTCCATGTGGTCTTACAAATAACTGAATAACATTCAAAGAATGATGTAGATGAACATCAGGAACAGGTATACTTTGAGACCATAAAATGATCAGATAATTCAAGTTAGAAGGAACTTAAGGAGGTTGCCTAGTCCAAATTGCAATATGCAAGACTTGACGATTCCTGAAGTTTCGTTTAGTATCAGAAATGAATCCAGAAAAAAACTCCCACATTCACATGTATTAAAAATTCTTTTTAGTTTGTTTTACAGCTGGAATGTGCTATGGATTTAGCACGTCTCAGAGGGAATACTTTTTCTCAAGTCTTATTGAACAAATGAAATTCTACTCTGGCTCATTAACAGAGAAATCAAAATGAATGGCAATAATCCAGATGTCTGCTGTAGTCCCATTTCAGAATGCTGTTTATATTTAACACACTTAGTATGTAAAATATTTGGGTTTTAATTATGGCTTAAGAAAGTAAATTGTTTTAAAGAGAAGTGAGTGGAGTCATCCGGGTAAACATACCAATCTGAAGAACAGCTCCCCAAATTAAACCAAGAAGCATTATGAAAAATGATTCTTTAAAGATTTTTCAGATGGGTTTTTATTTCATAAGCCTCCACACTCATTTTCTGTGCAAGTGAAGTTTCCACTATCACTATTTATTCCTACAGCGTTCTCCAGATGAAGAAAAGGAAATAACAAAAGTCTGCAAAACAAATGCAGAGAGCATCAGTTTATCCAAGCTGCTCTGCAGTGCTGATTTTCTTCTGCAGTCAAGGCCAGAGCAGCTCAGAAAAACAAAAGGCACTCCTGTACTCTGTATTGGAGTCGTGGTTTAAATGGGCATACATGTTTCTAAAGAAGTTTATTTGGTCCAGACTTGTACCTTCTTTGATGCTGGTATATCACTCATTCAAAAAAAGCAGCACAGCATTTTTTGCTCACTTCACATCCTCATGTGGCAATGCTACAAAAAAGTTGATTTAAGGAAGGTTTGTACATTTGAAGAACTGGCACTAGCTTGATTTGTATCAGGTCTAACTCTGGCAACCTGTACCCATTCCATATTGGACTTCCCACGGAAGGTGCTTTCAAGGGTAGAGCTGAACTGTCTGAGACTTGGTAGAACTCAGGGTCTCCAGAGAGCACAGTCATGTCAGAGTGATTCATAGAATCATAGAATGGTTTGGGCTGGAAGGGACCTTCAAGATCATCTAGTTCCAATCCCCCTGCCATCAGCAGGGACACCTTCCACTAGACCAGGTTGCTCAAAGCCTCATCCAGCCTGGCCTTGAACACTTCCAGGGAGGGGGCATCTACAACTTCCTTGGGCAACCTGTTCCAGTGTCTGACCACCCTCACAGTGAAGAATTTCTTCCTAATATCTAATCTAAACCTACCCTCTGTCAGTTTAAAGCCATTTCCCCTTGTTCTATCACTCCCTGCCCTTGTAAAAAGTCCCTCCCCAGCTTTCTTGTAGGCCCCCTTCAGGTCCTGGAAGGCCGCTATAAGATCTCCCCAGAGCCTTCTCTTCTCCAGGCTAAACAGCCCCAACTCTCTCAGCCTGTCCTCATAGGAGAGGTGCTCCAGCCCTTGGATCATCCTGGTGGCCCTCCTCTGGACTTGTTCTAGCTGCTCCAGGTCTCTCTTGTGATGGGGGCTCCAGAACTGGACACAGTACTCCAGGTGGGGCCTTGTGATAGTGGAGTAGAGGGGCAGAATCACCTCCCTCGACCTGCTGGCCACGCTTCTCGTGATGCAGCCCAGGATAAGGAGTGAAGGAGCTAAGAGGGAAAGAAGGAAATAAAAGGGGAGGAGATTTGGGTTTGATAGGCCATGGACGACTGGACATCTCGGCTTTTGAGGTGAGTCTAGGAGGCTGGGGATGACAGGGATAAAACTGCAGCTGAGATGGAAGAGTGGGAGGAGGGAAGAAGTTCATACAGTGAAGAAACTGGGATAAGCCAGGGAACGTGGAGTGGGTGTGAAGAGGGAAGACCATGCTCTATTTCGAACATGAGAGACCTGGAACAAAACTCATAATTCTAATGGAATCTAACAAGTGCAGGCTCAGTAGAGATGTAGGTTTTAAAACATACTATTTTTCCCCATAATCACCATGTTTGAACTCTTCAGTTACACTGGCAATAATTAGTCCTCTTCCTTCGTCCCTTCTGGGGCTCATCATTTTCCTAACTTTCCGTGTGCTTGTAGCCTACCCTGCTCTGCAGGTGCCAGTAATTCTTGTCTTTCAAACTGTCTGTTATTAACCTAGTCCAGTTGAATTGAGAACACTTGTTCATAACCAATACCTTCTCTTACAAGAGCTGAAAAGAATTTGTATGCATTGTCTCCTTTTTTCCTTAACTATAAAAATTGCTCTTACGAAGTTATTACTGAGCCTTTCAAGATTTACTTTGCAAGAAATGCTTGTTCCTCTGGGTGCTTTCAGTGTTGTTTGCAGGTTTGTTTTTGCGCAGTGTTGACAACAGAGTGAGATTTTTAATGTTTTCTGCTGTTTTGTGAGATCGAATGGGGCAGGTTGGGATGATGATGGTTGTTATTATTATTATTACTATTACTACCACCATTATTTCTCTTGGGAATGTATTAAAAGATAGAACATAGATAAATGGAGCCTCAAGGGTGACTCATGTTTTTGTTTAGCTTGAACTAGGTCCAGCTTCTAAGAAGATTTTTAGGTGCATTTTTTGGAAAGTGTTTTAAACTGAAGTTATAATTCCAGAGATCTCAATAGCATGTGTGTGTTTTTATTTAGGAACACGTTTAAGGAATGTTTTTGGTGGGTGATTGTAAAATAAATAAACCTGTCTGAATCTGGAGGTTGCAATTCTTTGGCATATTCAGTGTCAGCAAAAATCACGTGGAAGAATGTTATTTAGAGCGTGGACTTGGCTAATTTTTGTGATTTACTTTGTAAACAATTATCTTTATGTTCAGTTGCGAGATGCGAAAGTATGATTTCTTAAGTAGTGTTTGCTTTTTACTTTGTCAGTGTTTCTGCATGTTTGGAAGGTGGCTAAAATTTGTTTTCAGCATGTGCCCCTGCCTGCTTGTAACACAAATTCAGAAAGTACTTTTCTTCAAAACAACCTACTGTTGCCATATTAATTGTCACTGAGTGTGTAACAGTGCAACACCTCCATGACATTGCTTCGATAATGTTGTTCAAGGTTCTAATTTTTTTGCCTTTATAAATTCTCAATAAACTTCAATTATTACTCAGTTTTTATTTAAAAAAAAAGCCAAAACAAACAACAAAATCTTGCTGTCATGTGCAGTGTGAATATCTTAGCTTGTGAATATTTTTAATTTTGTCTGCAGAGCAATTGATGACATACATTTGTAGGTTGTTAGGGGAATGAAGCAGTCGGCACCGCTTGTTTTTTGTTTTTTTCAGGGATTTATTCTTGTCTTAAAAATTACTGTTCACTGAGAAAGCAGTTGTGGTACTTTAATCATGTAGTGGTAATTTACCTTGTCATGTAATAGATAAGGTTAGAGTAAGAATGTAATAATATCATGTATTTAAATATATAGCTTAAGGATGTTTCTAATAACTGTACTTGAACGCAAAGGAATTTCAACATTTGAACCTAGTTTGCAAGTTGAACAATAAATGCCCCTGTGGTGACTTAGATAGCATAGATGCTTTTGTCCTAGTCAACTACGTACTGGGGGGACCATACACTTTATCTGTATTTCAGTATACTTAAGTATCTGTAAAACATGAGATACATAAAAAAAAAAAAGTTGAATTTGCAAAATAAGGAGTACCTATTATGTTGTCTGCTTAGAAAGATTTTTCCATGTGTGTCATAACCTGAATGAGACAGCTGCAGAATTTGACCACGCAGAGCTGCAGCAGCGTGTACAGTTGCTTTGTTGGTCATTTTAGCAGAGGTATGACAGACGTACATAGTGAGTTAAGATGTATGTGAGAGAAGAATGTTGGTGAAAGACACTAAATTTAAAAATGTGTTAATTATTTTAGGGTTTCATTAACCTTTGTTCTATATTGAAACTTAGAGGTTGTTTTGCAGCTCCATCTTTCACTTGAGAGTTCTCCACTAAATTTTCTTAGATCGTTTAAAAGTCTTGCTCTGAACTTTGATACATAAGATTCTCTTACCTATGTGTGAGAGCTGAGAGGAATTTGACCACACAACTGTTACTAAAATTAACAGACATTATATGATTTGATCATGCCCCTGTCATGAAATGTCCCTGGTGAAAATTTCATCATATGATGAGTGATTGTGTTCCGACTACTGATCTGTTGCTGGTTTTGAATGGATGTTGCAGAGTTAATGCTTGGACTATACATTATGTAAAACATTTTTGTACTAATTCTGAAATGTGTTTTATTTGCAGGGATATTAAACCAGACAATATTTTGATGGATATGAATGGACATATTCGATTAGCAGATTTTGGTTCTTGTCTGAAACTGATGGAAGATGGAACGGTAAATTAGAAAGAATGATACATTCCTAAACACCTTTTCTTCAGACCTTAGCTAGCTGCTAAAATGCATGCTAGTAAAGGGAAAAGGTGCCTTATGTCAAACAAAATGGAATTGTAATGGTATTGGTATGTAACTAACCTTTGTTCAAAATGTGATTGCACTTTACTTGGATTTACTGTGTATCGAAAGCTTTTTAGGTGCATATAGTCAGCTCATGAATAAATAAAGAGAAGCTGCCCTGTCAGTACTGAGTAGGTATTTGTTGATGAACTATGACTCTCTCAGTTTTGAGCTCTGAGTTCTAATCTTTATTGAAAATGTAAGCTTTGGTATAAGCAGGATGAGATACAATTAGCATATCATATTTTATTATTACATTTAAACTTGCACATTATATAGTAGGCGTGACTAGAATGTAATTCCAGTGTGTTAATCATGTCCCAGAGTGTTATGAAGTATTTGAGTTAATACCTAATCTATAATTACTTAAGAACAACTTTAAACCTAAGAATTTACAGTTTTGTTGTTTCTCTGTTATTAAATATTTGTAAGAGTTGAGCAAAAGTATGTTATTGGAATGCCTATTAATGTAGTAGCTTGGATGCTTACATATCTCTTTATGAATTTAGAAGCCTTTTTATTGTGTTTGGTTGTTATTGTCATAACCAGAACACTAGGCTAAATTTATATATATGTGCATAGTGCCACAAACAGCAGTCTCTCTAATGATGGCAGTTGATTTTAGTCCTGGAAATGTAACTTCTACAGGTCCAATCTTCAGTGGCAGTTGGAACACCCGATTACATCTCTCCAGAAATCTTGCAGGCCATGGAAGATGGAAAAGGGAAGTATGGACCTGAGTGTGACTGGTGGTCCCTAGGCGTTTGCATGTATGAAATGCTTTATGGAGAAACGCCCTTTTACGCTGAGTCCTTGGTGGAGACCTATGGGAAAATAATGAACCACAAAGTTAGTGCACTTTCTCTTTCTGTCTCTCTCTAAGCTAATTTTTAATAAGCAACAGGGTAACTTGGAGGCTTGTTTAAAAATTAGTTTTTATGTACTAATTACGTTAATGTTCATAAATGTAGAACAAAAATATGTTTCCATATAGTAGGTTGATGGTTATGGATTGCAGATGCCTTTGCTTTAGGATAAAGCAATTCAAAACTAAAAATCTGGATTTTCTAACATGACTGTTAGTTCACTCTATGGAGTAAATCTTGGCTACATTACATCACTCCTTCTGCATTACTTTCTTCTGGTGACATCCATTGGTTGGCTTATGCAGAAGATTCTTAAATGTTTTTCCGCATGGAGGTAGCTGTAGAATTCAACAGTGTAAGAAAAATTCAAATAAAGAAGAAAGACTAGAAGACAAAAAAATTTCAATAGTTTCTGTCCTTTGGGAAAGTCTTTTTCCTAGAAACCTTACTGCATATATTTAAGAACCAGAATATTTCCATGTTCTTTTTCTATGTAATAATTTTCACTAAGAAGGGTGATTTTTCAAACTTTTTCTTGGTAATAAACTATTTTATCTTATTTTAATCTTTAAGGAGAGGTTTCAGTTTCCTGCTCAAGTGACAGATGTCTCTGAAAGTGCAAAGGACCTAATCCGAAGGCTCATTTGCAGCAGAGAGCATCGACTTGGACAAAATGGGATAGAAGACTTTAAGAACCATCCATTTTTTGCTGGGATTGATTGGGACAACATTAGAAACTGTGAGGCACCTTACATCCCAGAAGTCAGCAGCCCCACTGATACATCGAACTTTGATGTGGATGATGATTGCTTAAAAAATTCCGTAAGTATAGAGTTAACATTTTGACAAATCTGCTTTTGTAGTCTACTTTACAACAAAATATCTGTAAATGGCAGGGTTTTTTTCAGTGCATTCACTGTGTTCTGCATAAACAAAAAAGTGCTGCTTTAAAGAACCTTGAGGGGAATATGTTTAAGATCCGTTCCGATCCAAACCATTCTGTGATAGTTTGGAGACTGTTCCTCCAAACTTCTGTGTGTAAGGCTAACTACAGCTCAGTTTTGTGAATTCGTTGTGACGTTACACGTGTTAGTAACTAGCACATACATCTGTTATTTGCAATAACAAGTTATTAGTGTCTGTGTCTGTTTACATGTAGATAGTCTGCAAGACAGTTTTTCTATTGGAGCTTTGCCGAGACTTGTACTGAGTTTGCGTAATGCGTTTTATTGTAGTGCTCTACTCTAATTCCTTGTATCTTTGTCAGATTCCATTCAGTTCATTCCCACTAAAATTTTTCCAGCTCATTTTCTGCCTTAGGTTGAGTTTTGGGAAATTTAGGAGAAACGTTACTGCCATTTCTTCAGGAACAATCTTGGTGAGAAAGAAATGATTTTGCCTTTGCTTAAAAAGCCTTACAACTGTTGTTTTTTAGCAACCTTAGTGTTTCTATGCATTTGAATGGGAAATTTGACAGATAATAGAGGTCTTAGCATCAGAGGAATGCCTTGTGTTGTCTCATTGTAAAAACTTTTTTTCCTTTTGGTGTTTGTTAAAAGATGCAGAAACCTGCTGGTTTACATGTGAGGTGAAGCAATTTCACCATTTTTGGTTTTGTTTTCTGAACTGCCTGTGCATCTCAGTTCCATTGAGCTTCTTGGACCTGCAGATAAACAACAGGCAACATGAATTGATACAGGCAGAATGATCGTTATTTGCATTCCCTTTCCTCCAACTGCACAGTAAAAGATGGAAAACACTCAGACTAGATGAAATCCAGTGGTAGACATGTGTGGTGTGGAGCATTAGGTCTCAAGAGTCCTTTCATATAGGCCAGTTAAGCAAATCAGTCTAGCTGCATAGGACAACTTGCTTTTTTCTTTTTTCTTTTTTCTTTTTTCTTTTTTCTTTTTTCTTTTTTCTTTTTTCTTTTTTCTTTTTTCTTTTTTCCTCAATTGTTCCTCACTTGCATCTGGTGTTGCCCATTTTCTTTCACAACTAAAGTATTTTTATCTTAGAACTTTTTTTATTTTGTCCAGGAACAGCTATTAGGGTTGTGTGGCAGGAATGGATGCTATGTGTAGCAAGTCCTTGTGAAGCCATGTTTGTGAAGCTTTTAGAGGTTATTCGTATGGTATAATGTTGGCCAGCCCAGAAGTCATCCTTTTTAGAGCCTAATCTCCCAAATGATGTACTGAAAAGGTGCCTCTGTGGCGTGAATGATTTCCCATTGTAAAGAAGCAGGGATCCACAGGTGAAGAATGCTTCTGTGACGAGTTACTGGATTCAGACATAAAAATAGAGTCCAGTTCTTAATTTGCTTTAAACCTTTGGGGGTGAAAAGCAGTGCTATTGAGCTGTTCAAGATGAACATTAGTTTGTGGAGCCTCATTTTCAGTTTCCTCATTTGAAACATGTGAAGGTAGGGTTTTGTTTTGTTTTAATTTGTTCTATTTTTACCATTCCTTTTCGCACCTAGCATATCTCTGAAAAAATCGTAGCCTGAGGCATTGCATGACTGAGGGTATTTTACATTTTTAATTCAACTGTTGGACGTTGTATTTAATATTGCTTCCCCTCAAATTCCTGTATGTGCCTTGGAGATGTTTTTACTGCTGTCTTCCATACACATTTTGTGAGGAAAGTTCACCCCAGATAAGCCCATAAGACTTTTTTTTCTTTTAAATTCTTTGCAAGGTTTGAATGGCATAGAGCAAATGAGAAATGCCCAGTGCTGAAGATAAAAGGCACTGTTGAAAAGCCATGATTGTTATTCTTCTGCCTGAACTTGGAGTGAGACTGTGGTCCTGTGGAAAAATTATATACGTAATAATGAAATTCAAACAGTATGTTAAAAGTTCACATAAGCACAAAGGGCAGAACAGTGTTGTTAGGCAGCTTAAGTTCTGCAGGTTTTTAGCTTTTAACTGTTTGGATTAGTAGCCTTATTGATAGGCATGGTAGATTTAGATTCAGTTATAATTTTGTCAGTATGATAATAGAGATAAATTCACACAAGCAGCAGGAAATAAGTATTTTGATCTCTGCCAAAGAATCAGCAAAGAAACATATTCTTTTACAGAATCTTATCAATAGATAAGATTGTTGTTATCAATAGATATGATACTTCAGGACCAATGTTGTTACCTCTGTGATACCCAAAAACTGTCATATCGGCAAAACACACAATTATGCATTTGGTCTTTTTTAAAGTTATTTGTAATGATGGTTTTGAAACACAAATCTATGGAGAAAAAAAATACAAAGAAGTAGTAAAGAATTTTACTTTTCCTAACCATAGTGGGCAATATTTGATATTTTTATTATCAATTAGTGAAAAGTTAAGACTTTGTAATTTGGTCTTGTCCTTAGTTTCCAAAATGCCCAACAGTGTAGGCTTGGTGTACTTACACAGTCTAGTTATGTCATTGGTGTTGCTTTTTATTTTGGGAACTTTTTTTTGATGTGAAGATTTTTGTCTGCTAGAAGGTCAAGGTTGTGATGTAATATAGCAGATGCCACCACTGAAAAGGTAATTTTGGATTTCTTTTGAGTACAGGCTTGTTCTCTCCTGATGAGTTTTACATGTAAAAATGTACAACTGGTTCCTTTCTTCCTTTTTTTTTTTTTTGTTTGAAAAAATTATATTACCTTTTCTTAAAATTTAGAAACTTCTAGCACTTTCAGTGTGATAATCTTCCTCCAAGGGAGTTTCTTTTGATGACCATTAAGGCCATCTCTAGTACAGTAACATAAACCTTGCATCTTGAAGTTAAACAGGAAACTTTTAAGAGTATATTTAAGAATATTAGAACCTACAGTGGTTTAGATAGTATAGCAACAGGGTTATTTTAGCCTGAGGAGAAGCTCAAAGGTTTGTCTTGGTTTGTAGTTCTTTGTCCGGCAGGAAGAAGGAGCAATGAAGGAAGAAATGGTCAAAGCACTGATGGGATTAGAAAGCCCTGTTGTATTACTTCTTTCTAGTAAATGTCTGACTATTGTTCTCTCCAAATAGAGATAACCCGCTCAGAAGTGGGGTTGGTAAATCTACAGGCAGGAGGTCCTGCTGACTAAAAGCAGAGAGGAGTATAGGAAGGAATAAAAGGTAATACTCTGTGCTAAAAGCATCTTGGAAAAAAGAAGGAATAAACTGGCCTTTAATTTGTGTAGTATTCTGCTTTCCTGTAACAATATCCTGTTTAGTTAGAGAAGGATTTGTATGCCAGCTTGCAGTATTTGTGTATGTTGTATGCTATTAGAAATAGATTTCGATGATGCCGTTTCATATATCGGCTGCTGATAAGGATGACTGTGAATATAGTTAATAAGATATTATCACATATGGTTAAGCTCAAAATGCTTTTTAAGTCCAGTAGGATATTACTTACTCAACTGTCCTGTTATTTTTCTAGGAAACAATGCCTCCACCATCGCACACTGCATTTTCCGGCCATCATTTACCATTTGTGGGTTTCACATACACAAGTAGCTGGTAAGTTAAGAGTTCCAAAATTGTTTGTAGGATAGTTACATAATATCTTAAGTGTCTCTCTGAAACCAACTGCAAACAGATACTGAAGAATGTGGTTTATTGAGGAAATTACTAGGCCATAATCTAAAGTACTGTCTGTCCAAAAGAATGAGCTCTCTGCAGATAAAATGTACATGAGTTTAAAGGTCAGCATCTGTGTTCAGAGGAGTTTTGTTGAGAAAGGTGGTTTTCAGACAATGTGTGAAGTTAACTGCATATGACAAAGTTAAGACCAGATATGTGGATGCAGAGATAATTTAGCTTATTAGACTTTAAAAATTGTTTTATTTCTAGTCCTTTGACACTCTTGTAAGTCTGAATGGAAATTTAAAAAAAATTACTTTTATTGATATTTGGTATTAATGTGATATTTGTCATGTTCATCTCTACTGCCAAACAGTAAAAAGGAAGTCTGTGTATGCCCCTTGATTATTTATGAAAATAAAGAAAGAATGTTTACAACTGTTGAAAAACCAGGCCTGTGTTTCTGCTAACACTTGTGCTTAATGCTGGTTATGTGACATGTCCTGTAGACTTCAAAAGGATTATTTGTATAAGTAGTAGTATATGTACATGAGTATCCACAGAATCAGGGCCTCAGCATTCCTGATATGTACATGTCCTAGTTGTCACGTGATAATTTCACGCCGTTTGTTGTCTTTAAATTATTTGGGAAACTTGATTAATTATTTGAAACTAAACTGTTACTGTCATCTTACTAACTATCTAAATTATGGCTTTTTGCTACTTGGCTAACAGAGACCATCCATAATGATCATTTTTAATCAAGATTTAATTCACTTTAAAAAAAAAATGCATTGAGGAGAGATCAGTCATGTAGGTAAAAAGGAATTCAATTTTTAATGAGCACATACTAACAAGGTGTTATTTGGCTATATAATAAAATACATAGTAATTAACAATTTAAACAACTGTTTATCGGTTGATTTTTTTTATATTATTATTATTTTAAACACAGCCTGTTGTAAAATCCAGTACTGTTTAATTTTTTTCCCCAGTGTGCTTTCAGACCGCAGCTGTCTAAGGCTGACAGCTGGACCACCCTCCATGGATCTTGATGCCAGCATTCAAAGAACTTTGGAAGATAGTTTAGCAACAGAAGCTTATGAGAGGAGAATAAGACGTCTAGAACAGGAAAAGCTTGAACTTAGTAGAAAACTGCAAGGTATAGTCATTAAAAAAACATTTAATCACATTTTTTGACTTAAATTGGCTTGCAGCTTTGCAAGTTATGGTTTATACTGTGGAGAAAAAAATTGTATATATACTTCCTGGAATGCTTTCTAGCAGAAAAGAATTCTCTTCATTATTTCTGTTGACAAATTAAACTTCTGTTACTCTTTATGCCTGAAATATCCCATGTAACTTCTTATAACGTTCTAACTTTGCACCGTGCCTTGATTATTATGGCATAAAGATTTCATTCTTAAAACCTCTAAGAATTTTGTTTGTCCAACTGACAATTATTGAAAAATTGGAAATTCGTAGTTTGAAATTATAAATTGTGGAATTCTGAGTGGAGAGTCTTTTGGCATGTCTTAATTTATCAGTAATATCTTTTTGACCTCCTCAAATGTCAAGGGTGTAATTTATCCCTCTCTCTTCCACCTTTTTCTAGAGTCCACCCAGACAGTCCAGGCCCTGCAGTATTCAACAGTGGATGGCCCAATAACAGCAAGCAAAGATTTAGAAATTAAAAGTTTGAAAGAAGAAATTGAAAAATTGAAGAAACAGGTAACAGGTATGTTATAAATATTAACGTAAAGACTGTAACAGGAAACAATATTTTGACAAGATTTTTTTTCTCCTAATGTAATGCTAGTTTTACTTTGCTTTCTAGAAGAGTCTTCCAGTCTATTTTACTTCTCATTTTACCCTTCAGTCTTCATTGGTAGCTCAACATTTTCTACAAATACAACTTAATATTCAGTACTTCAGTAATTCCAGTTGCAAGAGAGAAGGAATATTTCAGTAACTTCTGCTATTATTATTAGTAGCAAAGTTCCACTAGTTTTAAATTGTGGTGTTGCTAATCCACATTGCTAGATGTGAATCAGGTTTTACCTGAGAATCTGTGGAACCAATTTCCACAGAGGGTAGTTTGTTTATTTGTTTTTTGTTTTCCCCCCCCTTCCTCCTACAGTGTGTATTGCAAGAGCAGATGGAGCACTTGTTTATTATTTTCGGCAGTATCAAAAGTCGCTGCAGTCTCTTTTAGAAGTCATAGTCACTGTAGTGTATCTTGGCATTCCTTGGTTCGCAGAGATGTATCTGCGCTCTGGTATGCAGGTACATAGGCAGTAAACCTAAGGAAGGTGTGGTTTCTTACATGTGTAAACATGAGGGGTAAAGACTTTAGCCTAGCAGTTTTAATAGTCTTAAAAATATTTGATGGAAGGAAGGATGATTTGTTATGATTTAAGCATCAATTGATATTTTTCATTATCTCATTCTCTGATTTTTCTTGGAAGGGCCACATTTTTGAGGTGTGATCACAATTTTGATTATATTTATATTTTCTTTGAAACCACAGAGGTTTATAGTGTGTTGTTGCTTAGTACATGGTAACTGAATGTGGATTAAAAGCTAGTTGAAACTGGAGATGTGGTTTTCTGAGTATTTTCTTGGAACAGTACTTTTAGAAAAGTGTGGGTTGTCTGGGAGGTAGGCTGTGCGCATGAAACCACAGTGATACTGAGTTTTCCAAGTAGCAGGGAGTAGTGAAGGGTGTTTTCCATAATCTTGGGAGCAGAGATATCTTCAAAGAGAAAGAAAGGAAGTAGAGCAAGATGGTTTTTATTTAAGAAAATTAACAAAATTGATAGAGACTGTTAGGTATCAGGACTAGAACCACAGAAATGGGGAGGACAAATCTGATTCCTCCTGTCAATCCAAATAGGAAAAATATTTGCTTTTTATATGAGAGAAAAATCAGACACAAGTAGCAGTAGATGGATCTCTATTACGTATCCATGTTACCTGTGGCAAGGGAAGAAAAACCCAGAGAGAAAGGTTGGAGGAAGCTACAAAAAAGATTTTTTTATGGTTTGTATTTGTGAAAAGGCTTCATTCAGTTCCTGGAAGTGTCAGGGATGCCAGTAGCGACACCCACAGAAAGAATAACTTCAACTTATCTTCCAGACATTTTAGTTGATGTGTTTAGACTCTGCAGCTACCTTATGGGGCAGAAGCGTGCTATGTATGAGCTGCAGACAGCAGCACATAGATTACATGCTGTTAAAATTTTGTAGTCTGAAAAAAACTTGTTATAGATATACAGTTGGACATCTGCTCTGGCATGATGCAGCAGTTTTGTATTGTACCATAAGCATTATTTTAGGATGTGAACGTGGCTTAACTGGCTCAGGGAGGATCACTCTGATTTGAGTGATGCCATGTTGGCGCTATGTCAGGACAAAGGTTTTTGTGAAGTTTCTCTCCAGCCAAATGTCCCTCCACTTGCTGCTGTAATGAGGAAAAAGACAACAGGATTAGAAATCTCTGTTAGCAATCCTCAGCCCTGGCTTTGGTTCTTTGGGACCACTGAAAAGCCACATCAACAAGAGCAGCTTTTGAATGGGACCAGCCCTTCATAGAAAAGCATCAGGATCAGCTTTAAATTCTATTTTATTATTGACTGTTGAGCTGCAACATAGATCTTAGTTCATTGCTGAAGGTACTACGCTCTTCCTTTGCTAATGGAAAAAAAAAAAAGAAAAAGAAAAAAGGTGTGGGAACATGCCTCAGCACAACTGATATCCCTCTTCAAATTTAAAAGAACTCTGAAGGCAGTTAGTATTCAGAAGGCTTTTCCAGAACGCATCCATTAAGAATTTTCTGCTTCATGCCACATATATGTTTGTCTCTTTATTCCTTGATACAATATGTCCATGTGTTTTCTCAGTTGGAAATGAATAAAGTGATCAAATGAGGAAGATGTAGGGTTGTCTAATCCATCTCCAGTCACCACATAACTTTCCCAGTAATGCCTTATCTGGTCCTGACAATACAGCCATTAATTAGAAAACACTCATTTGTGCCTTGAGTTATAACTAATACAAGCTAATTTGATAAAATTGGGAAAAGAAAATGTTGGGTTTTGCTTGATTTTTTGTGGGTTTTTTGTGAGGTAGATTTAAAAATTAAATTAATGACAGAATACTGATGGAAACCAAACGATGGTCATGCCTGAATCCTTCCAGACTTAGGGGAGCTAGTTCTAAGTTTTCTGGGTGGCCTTTAAAATACTCAAATTTCCAAACCTAGATCTGATGAACTTGAAGAAGGTTCAGTTCAGAGCTGAACTTTAAACTTTGCTCTCATCTCTTGGGCAATTTAATGTAATGTGATAACATCCTACGGTGGGTGTTTGCATATATTAGCTAAAATGTTAGCAATAAACTAAGGTGATTGGATGGAAAATTACCATTTACCATACATACATCACAGCTAGCTTTTAGTTATATTCTTTAACCTGTTCTACTGCCTCTTATGGAGCTGTAAGAGTAAACACCTGCTTTAAAAGGTAATAAAAAACTTACATGAAATTGTGTCAAATTCAGGAGTGTCACTGGGGGGACCTTAGAAAAATACATTTTTCTTGTCTATCTAGCTTTCCAGGAAATGACAAGCTAGCATATGCTTTCAATTTTTGAGGTCAAAGTTAAAATTTTTGTTCGCTAAGTTACATAGGAGAAAACTTTGAGGAATCTTTAATATTGCCAAATATGTAAAGGGCAGCAATGGAAGAAGAAAACAGAGCTGTGGAACAAAGTAGTTCATGCACAGAAGAGAGATTTATCTTGGCTCAGCAGAGCCATATATAAACTTCCTTTTTGCTGGTGACTTCAGAGTAGGCTACATAAGAGAGGCAGCTAATAATTTCTGGCTTTGAGCAACATCTCTTGTTTAAATGCATTCTTTTGAATTTTTAAACAAGAGCCAGTGAATTAAACCAATAGTGAATATTTATCTGGGTATAGGCTAATGGTATTCATTTGCTTTTAAAATTCTTGTGTTTCAGAAATTACAGCTCTTAGAAATGTGTGTGTTTTTGTATTTGATTTCTCCAAGAGACAGTCTCTTAGGATTGCATTTATGAAAATGTAGTAGAAGGTTCTTAATGAGTATAGATGGGTTCCTGTTCTGTGGTTAAATACATATGGTCTTAAGACCTGCCACAACTGAAATCAAAGGCAAAATGTCCAGTGATTTCATAGAACTTGTTATTAACCTACCCTTATATATATCTTGCTTTAAATTCTTGTTTTTAAGTGAAGGACTAGGAGGGAAAAAAACCACCCACTAGGCAGAAATTTTCAGTTGTCGTATTTTATGGATTTCAACTTTTCATATTTTAGCATTTGAGCATATTTATATGACATTATTTAGCTGTGGCATGTGAATGTACTGTCATTGTGTAATTTGACAGTTGGTAAGAAACTGACTGTAATAGTTTTTCTGTATTTATAGTAGCAATACAGTAGTAATACAGTAGTAATACAGCAGATCACATAAACACAGGTGGTTTTCACACTAGAAATAAGTAAGATCATCTGAAGTTAATTTTAAGTGTATCAACAGGAGAACACTTGCCAGTTCTTGAGTGGCCTGTCACTTTTACCATTTCTTTCTGGAGGAATTCTAAGGGAGGCTGTTTATAATTACAGTGTAATAAAAGATGCATTATATATTACATCACAGTGCATAAAAGTCAAATGTTATAGGTCACGTTAAAGCATACATTACAGAATTATGTATAGTGCATGATTATTGTGAAAAGACAAGTTATTGTTTTCTTTGTTGTTTTGCAGCAAGCTGTGACCTTTTATTTTGTTCCATTAAAAGTAGATAATGGCAGCTGAAAAACTATTCCCTATTGGAAACCAGATAAGAATTTAATTATTTTGTGATTAAATGGAAACCAGAACAAATACTGAAGGGACTTCAAGCAGGGAGACTATACTGTTCTAGATTAATGTTTTTTTTCCTTAACATATTTAGAAGTCTGCTGCTTCTTCTAGATTCTGGTCAGCTAGAACAGCAACTTGAGGAGGCCAGCACTGCAAGGCGGGAGTTGGATGATGCTTCCAGACAAATAAAGGCTTTTGAGAAACAGGTCAGAACACTGAAGCAAGAGAGGGAAGATCTTAATAAGGTAAAAGCATTCTGTCAGCAACATTTCTAAACCCTAAAGACTATGTTATTTTTCTTCATTTATCTTCAAATAACAAAAATTAACAAACAGCCAACAAATGTGTAGCATGACCTACTTTTTCTGCCTCTTTTTTGAAGACAAGGTTATTATTTAACACACTGTATGTATGACTGCTGGGTGGTCCTTGGTGACTGCTTCCAGATAGTGAATGATGCCATGATCCAAATTGCATGGTGGCTGCAAAGTAGGTTTTATAGCTTCAGATTAAGGTGATAATGATAGTGGTTAGAAGACAGAGTGGAGAAGAAGTATTGCAGACAAGTAATTTAATCTGAAGTATGGGTGAAACTGGAGCAAGGAAAAAATGTCAATAATATGGTGTTAAGACTATGTCACAGAAGTGTTTCCAGAAGAGAGATGTGAAAAATTGCCCAAATATGAAGATTGAAAAGTAATTTGAAGTAATTACAGTTAAAGAATACTGGGTTTTCTTTCTTCTTCTCTGTCTCCCTGCTACTTTCTTATTTATAACATACTGTCTTTCATAGCTCTTTTTGTATTCCTGATTAAATCAACCTGTAATCATGTGTGAAATATGTTAGCCTGTTTCCCATCGTGATTATATTGGCCCAGAATTTTAGAGTCCACTCTCAGTGTTGATGTGTCAGCTTTTTTAACACTGTTTCTTTTAACCCTTAAGGCTCTTAAATTTTGAAAGCTGCCAATTTGTCCAAGAAAGACCATCTCTCTTCTAAAACAACTTGTAGTGATTAGGACCCGTTTTTAACAACCTTAGAAAATGCTTTGAAATCTGTATAGATGTCAACAGTGCCAAATACTAATTCTTCCCACCCCTCTTCTTTTCTTTCTCAGACTCGCTTTTCCTTGCTTCTTTGTTCTGCTCCGGTTTGGCTGAACATCATTAAAGCATTTAAACTATTGTGGTCCCTCATTCGTAGTGTAGTAGTACAGATCTAGCACACAGCAAGCTTTGGTATTGTGCTGTAGAGTTATCACAGCACTATCAGTGTTATTTCATGTTGGTTCTTTTCACAGGATAATTATCATATATAGCTGTTAATCACTACACTGTTTTGTTGCCAGAAACTTTCTGTAATATTTGATATTATGATACAGTGTGTGGAAATCACAGTAACCATTGCAGGTCAGTTTTCAAAAGCTTCTAAAGTAGAAATTTTTATAGAGTGGAGTTTTCCATTCAATTAATGCAAAAACTTTTAAAAATAATTTAGCAGTTGAGATACGTACTATTCTTTTTATTCATTTAAGTAGTTCTTTAAAAACTTTGCTAATGACATTTTTAATTAAGAAAGCAACGTATTTTTGTATTTTAATGCAAGTGTTTGAAAACCATTGTGTTTAATACATTGTGTATGTATTATACATACATAATGTATGTATGATAATGGATTAAATTCCTACTTGGTTTATATTTATGCGGTTTTACTAACTTTAGTAGTGTAAAACCTGGCCTCTTTCCTTATTTACAGAAGTATAAAATCTGTATCATAGATGCATTCATGAAAATAAGTTAAAATATAGTTTCTGTTCACTCTGGAGAAGGTGTTAGATGTGCATCCAAAGACAGAATTGGCCTTGCAGCTTTCTAGGTTTATTACTTAATTCTTTTTTTAAACTGTAGGAACTGGCAGAGTCTAGTGACAGATTAAAATCCCAAGCCAAAGAGCTGAAAGATGCACACAGCCAGCGGAAATTGGCAATGCAGGAGTTCTCAGAGATGAACGAGCGTCTGACAGACTTGCACTCTCAAAAACAAAAGCTTGCCCGCCAGCTCCGAGATAAGGAGGAAGAAATGGAAGTGGTGATGCAAAAAGTAGAAAGTTTAAGGCAAGAGTTACGCAGAACAGAGAGACTTAAAAAAGAAGTAAGTGGTGAGAAGACTGTTTAGATTCTGTGAAATAGTAGTTATATGTAAGGTTTTCTGACAAAGTAATATTTTTGTTATCTGTAAATCTTTAATTCTTTGATTGTTGTTTCAAACAGTACCAATTTTGTTTGCTAAGAATTTGAAGTGTCCAGTTTAGTGCTGAAGATTTCTCTCTTATATTGAAAACCATCAATAGTTTTTTTGGGGAAAAAAACCAAACAAACAAACAAACAACAAAAAACCAAAACAACCCTACCCATTAAAAATGTATGTACTTTTGTAGCTGGAAGTCCAAGCTGAAGCTGCAGCTGCTGAGGCATCCAAAGACAGGAAATTGCGAGAGAGGAGTGAGCAGTACTCTAAACAGTTGGAAAGCGAAGTAGAAGGGCTAAAGGTTAGTCTGTTTTGATATTAACACCTGCAAACTTACTAGTCAACGAGGACTTGGATCTGTTTGATTGCTTTCAGATGTAGGATGAAAGAATATTGTCAGTTTATCACTTCAGTTGATGCTGAATATTAATACAAGTATGCATTGCGTTATTGTCCAGAAATATTAACATTTGCCTAATGTGCTCTTCAGGCCAGTGTGTTCACTGCTCACTGAAGTATTTCTTAATACTCCATGATTTCTTACCAAATTGCTTCCATTATGACTTTGTTTAACTTTACCTCTTAAAAGCTTTTTTTTTAGTGTAGGATTGAGTATTTGCAGATAAGCTTGCAACCTCTGCAGGTTTCTGTATAGGTGCTTTATGTACTGTGTTGTTCGTCAGCGTGTAAATCAAAAGAAAGATAGTTTCCTCCACAGTAAGTGTCAACTGATGGTAACTGTAGTGTATCCTGTAGGTGTAGATGGTAAACTGAATGTATTCTGCCTCTCAGCCAGAAGCTGGGAAGTTGATTTTTGCACAAGAACAGCATTGACCATGAGGACTGTTTATATGGATGAGATTGCTCACATATATATGTGTTTGTAGAAGCAGAAATTTTAAGAAAGCCGAGAATGTTAACTGTTATTTTATTTTAGGATTTAACATTTTATAAGGTACTCTGAAGAAATTAGACTTTCTCAAAAACTGAATGAGAAAGTTTTTCATTTCCATACGAGGAGTGTTGTTCATTTACAGCAAAATCCTATTCTAAATTTTTCATCCAGTAGGATAATTCTAAACTTTTAATGCAAAAAATGTCAGATTAGGCGTATTCTGGTCTTAATTTACATAAATAACAGTTTTTTTGTGTTAGAATTCAGTGGGACATTTGTCAGCATTAAGTCACTGCACAGAAAATTTGGGATTTTTTTGCAAACATTCTTTTATTTTGCCTTCCTTTGTTAAATAAAAATAAGGAAATCCATTCAGTATGAAGTTTGGATTTATAAAGTTTCTACTGCTGTGAATTGAGATTGTTATCTGAAACTTGAGATATATTTCTGCTTTCATGAATCTTCGCCATCAGCAAAGAGTTTGTATGACCGTTTAAGGGGTGAGAGGAATTTATTGGAGATCTATTGAGAGTAAATGGTAGATGATTTATAAGAACAGAGCAAGTTTATCAGGAGAGGAAAGGGGACTTGTAAATTTCTTGGTAATATTTCACAGTACAGCAAGCACACTTTGAATCATGTGCATTTATTGTGCTACTGCGTTATCCATTCAGTAACAGCTCTGCATGCCTCCTTGGTTCAGGAGGCTATCATAGAGAAAAGGTCAATATTTAAAGAAAAAAGGAAAGTTTCTCCAAATGAGGAGAATAGAAAACCCTGTAAATGATGGCAGGTTAAGTGTAAACAGGATGTTGAAGGCTAAATAAAGATAATTTAGAGAACAGTTTGCAAAGGATGCTCAGAGTGATTGTGAGAAGTTCTTTAAATCGGAAGCAGAAAGCTAACTTAGGAAACTGATAGGGCTGATTGTTGGCAGGGATGGAAAAGGTGATCTCTGAGTTTATAGGCCTGTGGCAGAAATGCTCAGTGAGTTTTTGATGTGTCAAACTTCAGTGCTGAAGCAGGGAGTGATTGCCACACAGAGCACGTTCTTTGCAGCAGGTTGGTCAGATGAGCTGGCTCATCCTGAGGGTGATGTGCAGGAAGTGTTAGAGCTGGCAGATGAGTCAGATGTGAAGTTGCCTGGAGTGGTGGCCTCACTGAGGGGGTTCTGAAGGAGCTCAGGTGAGAAGTGAGAGAACTGCAGGCTGAGATGTGCACTGTCTTATTACAGAAAGCCTGCTGTGCTACTGTGACTCTCATCCAAAAGATCCTGGGAACTGCAGAGGAGTGGGTGTGACTTCCTTAGGAAGGGGGTAGAGGCTGTATTAAAGAATAAAGTCAGTGAGCTCATAGATGAAGCAGAGCCTACTGGGAAGAAGGTGGTGTGCCTTCTGTCCAACCAAGTCCTGCAACACTGACCTGCTGGGATTCTAAGAAATTGTCAGTAAGTGTTTGGCCAAAGGAGATCCAGTGGATGTCATGTATTTAGATTAAAAAAAAAAAAAATCAGTGTCAGTATGAGTCAGCAGTGTGCCCTGGCAACCAAAAGGGCAAACTGCATCCTGGGGTGGATTAAACAGCATCTATCTCTGTGCCAGGAGATGGGTTATGTCTCAGTTGCACCATTTGCCCACTTGAAACAGGTATGTATGAAAACATCTGTTTGCGCGTCACCCTTAAATTTGGGTAGGAAGAATCTGTGGGGAAATTATGTTTAAGGTGTGCAAAATCACAAAGGCAGCGGATGAGGTGAATGGAAATGGCTGTTTCCCAAACTATGACTGAGGTGCACTGGTGAAGCATACAGGACGTGCCATACTGCTGTGCACAACAGGGAGTGAACTCCTGGAACTTGTTGCCAGCAGAGTTTGTGGTTGTGAGAGTGTCAGCAGGTTCGTAAAGGGATTAGACAAGTTGATGCACACCAGGTCCCCTGACTATGTGGAGAGATACTCTCTAATACCTTTAGTCCAACAATTATTGTATTCCAAGGGGAATGGACCTCATAAAAAAGCAAGCCTGGGTGCTGTCCCCACATAGCCACTGCTTTAGGAAGGATACTGGTCTGACCCAGTAAGGCTTCTCTCAATGTTGTTCTTCACAGTGAAGCTGAATGCAGTACTGGAATGGTAAGAGTAGTGGAAGTGTACTGTATGAGTGAGTGAACAAGTTAATGACTTGGACCGCATGTTGGAGGAAGGTACCAGAAGAAACCAGTTACCATTTATAATAAATTTCTGATTCTAATCCAGCTGCCATTAACATTGAAAAATAGAGCTAAATGTAACAACAGAAGAGCATAGCTTTCATTTTCATCCGAGCAGTATTATAATACCTATGAATCTCTTTCTGCTCTTCACCAGTAGATGAACATATTTATTGTTAGTTTTTAGGGCATTTTATAGGTGTGTTAGAAGATCTTACACTTGCTGTTTACTTCAGTAAACTGAGTTATAAAGCTTCAGGTGTGTATTCAGACAGCCAAAATTCTGTCTCTGGGCCCAATTACACATATAGAAAAGGTGTGTTGGATGAGTCTGGTTTAGGTTAACTAGGCAATTTTTGATGTTAACTTTCGTATGGCTGATTTTATTTTTTTATTAGGTTTTAAGTTCATTTCAAGCAAATTTAGACTAAATTTTGCATGTTAAATATCGAGGTAGCATATTGAAAATGAAATTCTCAACTCTTTCCTTCCTAACTGAGCAACAGCAAATTATTAAATTGAGAGGAATAATACAGTAATCCACATAAGTGATAATTAACAGGATTGTAATAAGGAAGATTGCGGGTTTCTTAATGTCTTGCATTTGGCAAATATTTATACTGTAGAACTTCATGCTATTAGCATCACAAGCCTAAGTAAGATTCTTCATACTCTTAACCAAGGTAAATTATTATTGCCATCTGCAAAGGGCAAGATACAAGCCTTGAAGCAATACAAAATAGCATCTGTAACAAAAGGCTAATCTCATTAAAGACAAGCCTCCAGGATTTATAGTGGTATGTTCATTTAGGATTACATTACTTAAATAGTAAATTTTCACATGCCACCTGCTCTATTATTGTGGTATTTCATGGTTATTCTTGTTTATTCTTCAAGGGCAAAACGTGAGTCTGTTAATGGTGTAATTATGGTATCCATAGTGTATGACATACATGTCAATACATATAGTAATTCAGCTTCATAACTCCTTAAGGAAAGAGCTGCTGTGTTGAGGGTTTTTTGTTGGGGTTTTTGTATGTGTCTGTGTGTGTGTGCATGAGAGAGAGATCCAAGACTTCCAGTGCATTAAACAGCATCTATCTCTGTGCCAGGAGATGGGTTATGTCTCAGTTGCACTATTTGTTCACTTGAAACAGGCATGTATGAAAACATCTGTTTGGAAGTTGTGCTTACATCAATTCAAAATATATTCTCTGTTTACTATGTTACTCTAGTTCTGTAAGCCACTGTACAGTACCATCCAGCTTTCTCTTCTACTACACCGTCTGTATTTTGGTCTTAATAGTATTTTTTCATTGTGGAAAAAAATGTGAAACATCTTTAAAACATTTTACGTACCTGATAGATGATGTTGCAAAGCCTGAACTTTTTATGTGCTCCATTGCCATATATGTGTAGGCAGTTTGGCATGTTGGGCAGTAACAAACAAGTTCAGTAGTTAAGTGCCTATGCATGAAAGAAAATTCAATTTCAATACCTCCTTTCTTTATTTTTCTTTAATTTTTTTTTAAGACTTTCTTTCTCCAAACCATCTCCTGTTGGGATGGCATCATCTCTCTCCCATTGACCATTCTGCATCCTAAGGGCAGATCAAATCAGATGGTCATTTTGATGAGTTAGAGAAAACAATGCAGTAGCAGCACATATCTGGCTCATACATTCAGGGGGTTTTGCAGTGTTCTGCTGACACAAACAGTAAGGCCCAGCTTTCTCATAGAATTTCTCATGGTAGAAATTCAGTTCCTCTGAATGTTCTACGATGACATATAGCTCTTAAAGTCTACTCATTCATCAGCCAAAAAAAATTATCCAAAGCCATGTTTAATTAAGGGTGACTGAGGGAATTCTAATATATCATGGTAAAAATGGGGATATAATTAACAAAATATCTTCGATCCTCCTAAAGGTGTGAGACGGTCTCCATAAGGAAGTAGGTTTTCCAGTTACTTGCACTTTCTCAAAACACTGTGTTTTTATTAAGTAATTTCCTTTCTTCTAGACTACCTTTAATTACATATTTTTAAAAATAGAAAAATTTCCAGGTTTTAATAACCTATAACCAAGTTATAGATGTGTTTACATTTAAAAATATTTCCATACTTGGATTTCAGTGCATGTCTTGTCACTATCTCACTTTGAACCTGATCTTGCTCCTCCTCTATGTTATGGCAGGACATTGAGTGTAGTGAGTGCAGCATTTGGTGCAAATGTGTATGTATCCTGAAGCAATGTGTAAAGACTATTGAAATGCCAGAAGACCTCAGTAAGAAAGCTATGCAGCTGCGAAAAGTGAAGTAATTACTCTTATTGTTTAAAGCTTGCTTTTCCTATTAATCCACTATGATGTGAGCGGTCAGTGTAAGTAAAATAGGTCAGGTTTTGCTCCTGACTGATGCAATCCATATAGTGTATTCTGTAGCTAGATTTTAGCCTTCAGTTAAGCCTCTGCTTGTCTTAGTATAGCTTTTCCAGAAATTATTTGTGCTTTAAAATATACTGACTGTAGATCGTAGTCCTTATTCTCCATTCCTGAAAGTCACTTGAACTTGTTGCTGTCAACCGTGTGAGTGGGAGCATAAAAATCTTCTAATTCTTTGGTAACTTTCTGACTTGCATGTAAGGGGAGTCAGAATGTGGCCAGAGATGTTTAAAGTGATGATCAAACTGTCAATAACTTGAAAACTGTTAACTGCATTTAAATCACAAAATGATAAAGAGTACAGTTCAGATTTTTGCTCTAACAAATTTTCAAAAAAATTGAGATAGATGTGTTTAACTCAAGTCTGTAATGGGATATTTTCTAAATGTAGACTTATGAATATTGAGTTGTTATTAAGCATCATTTTTAGCATTCTTGAGTGCTAACTTGGAGCTGTTTATTTTAGCAAAAACAGGTTGGTCGCTCACCTGGGGTAAGCAGTATAGAACATCAGCAAGAGATCACTAAATTAAAAGCAGACCTGGAAAAGAAAAGTGTTTTCTATGAAGAGGAACTATCTAAACGTGAAATAATACATGCTAATGAAGTAAAAAGTCTGAAGAAAGAACTACGGGATGCAGAGAGCCAGCAGCTTGCCCTCAAGAAGGAGATCATGATTTTGAAAGACAAGTTAGAGAAAACCAGAAGAGAAAAGTGAGTATTGTACGGAATTTACCTTTAAGCTCAAAATGTCTTTGAAGTTTCCTTGTATGTTTCCAAATAAACTATTGCTTCCTCAATTGCAATGCAGATAGGTGCACTTTAGCTGAGCTAATGCCAGGGCTGGGAATAGTCACTTTTAAAAATAAAACAGAACACACACAAAAAAATCCACATCCCTGTGCTGAAACAGTTAATTTTGCACTAGACTTCTCGCACTGGCTGACCATTTCAAGGTACATAACTTCAGTTGCAGCTTGTGTTGCAGTTTAAAGTAGTTTTTTTGACATTTTTTTCTGTTTGATACTTTCATCTTTTGATGCAAAACTAATGTGTTGGAGATCAACTATTGCTTACATTTCTGCCAGCGCAGGAACAGTCACTTCATATGGACCTAAGCTAATCCGTGCTGAGTTCCATCCAGTGTTAACATCAGTCATCAGACTACTGTAGGCATAAGCTGCTTTATCTCTTCTGACATGGTAATTTGTCAGAGACCTGCTTTTTTCTCTCCCACGTGGTAGAGCTTATAACTGGCCTTGAGAATGTTCCTTGAGTCATTCATCAATAAAAACAAGTTTTTTCTGTTAGATAGTGTAGTAATGGAAATAATAAATTGCATGTATTCATTTTCATTCATAAAAAATTCAGAATGCTTTATAGACTCTAACATAGATGCTCCTTTTTGCTGCTGTAGTTAAGATGGCCTATTAGAAAAACCATGGAGAAGTTCCTGCGGAAAGCTTAGCCAAACTGTAGTGAGTCCTTAAATATAATTAGTAAATGAAGTAAAGAATTTTTCAAAAAAGCTTACTCTAATAGAGGTGGAAACACTGCTTCTCTGGTAAATTGTTTCCAGCATGGGAAGTAGATCATACAGCCTAGAATGCAGTGGATGAACTGTTTCTCCCTAGAATACAGCTATGGACATATTAACACAGTGGTTTGCTGCTTTGTTCTAGGTTGAGAGGTAAAACTTGCATCAGCAGCATGTTCTCATTGTGCCACAACTTAATGGTCTTGCTGACCTGTGAGTTATAAATGCACAAAAGGCTGTGCTGTCTTGTAGTATATAAAGGTGATAGTGTGATACTCTTTTAATGCCATGGCAATCCAGTAGTGTCTGAGAAGGAGGAATATTCAATAAAGAATCAATATACCTATTTCTGCAGGTTAAACTGTTGCTAAAGAACACACCTCCAAACACTGTCCAGACCAGAAACTCCTTGGAGTTTTATCAGAACCCTTCTAATGTTGTACAGCTGCACAAGTTCGAACTAGATGTCCATCCAGTGAAATAAAAAGTGGTCTAGCAATGCTGATCTGCTTCATGCTAGCTAGTTCATAAACCTTCTTTCAATCTAGTTTCTCTCTATAAATAAAAAAGGAACTGAATACAAATCTACAAGGAGTACTGACGTAACCATGTGTTTATGTATTTCAAGTGTTGGTGTAAGAGAACATTTTAAAGCATGAACAGAAGTGTGTCACATAACCAGACTCCAACATTTGGGTCTTAATGGAAAAGGGTTTCAGCATCACATGAAGCCAGGTGTCCAAGCACATGATGAGTGATTAGTGAAGACCTGGTCTTAACTGGGTTTTCTTAAATGGATCTGCAGAATCTCATGCAAGTATTAGGACTCCACAGAAATGCATAAGTCCACTGTTCGAGGTGTGCTACGGATTAACTTCTGTAGTAGCTCAGGGATTTAGAAGGGAAACTTAAATATTAGAATGGAAGAATTGCTGTTGCTGCTCAGTTCTCAGTATCTGGTAGTTTTTCTTAAGAGGACATGGATTTTTTGTTTCTGCTTACACATACTTACTGCTTTTGACTTTTGTAATCAGGCATGCAAAGCTTTTTGTGAGTCTGCCAGTACAGAAGTGTTCAGTGTAACTGTTGAAAAGGAAGCACCTGGAGGCTTTGTGCTGAAATAAGTGGAATTATTTCAACAATAGACTTGGAGTGGGCGTGGGGTTGAAGTGTACGGAAAAAATTTTAGTAGTCTAAAAATAATCTTTAGTGTGTATTAAAAAAAGGGCTTTGATAAGAGGACGCAGTTGCATTACTTCGTAAGGGCTATAGTATAGAGTGAATTACGTAGGTTATTCTAAACCAGGGTCGATAAGAGCTTGGTCAAAATCTGTGTGTACTTTTTAATGTAACTTGGCGATTTCTGTACCATTTTTAAAAATATGTATTTTTGCTTTGTTTCTTTCAAATTTAAGCTTTCTTACTTCTGCTATTTCAACACCATAAGTCTTCAAAGGAAACTGCCTTTTAGTATGAAATGATTGTCCCTTGCTGAAAGCTGATAAACTACATGCTACTGCAATTGGGAACGTAGGAACACAGTATCAGGCCAGTGATCTGTATAGCACCATATTCCATTTCGTAGACTTGTCATTAGAAAATACTTTGGAAGAAGGTGCAAGAAACTGTGTAAAATAAATAAAGTTTGTGGAAGTTTCTTATAAGTCCATCATTTAATGACAGATTTATAAAGCAGAGAGCTTTATAAAAGGCCATTTGCTGTTTTTAAATTGTGTGATATAAAGAAGCCTGGGAGCTGGTGTTTGTTTCAGGTCTACTTTTCTTGGTTTCAAAGCCGTAAGATAAAATATTTCTCCACTTTGTACAGCTGCAATAAAGAGCTGGCGCGACAAAGTGATACCATAAAGCTATATTTCACATTGCTTGCATGTGGTTTGCTACAGTTATTTTACTGATAAAAAGGAAGCTGGATCATGTATGATTTCTTAAACTTGAAGAGTAGATACATAGCTAAACTTTAGATGAGAGACAAAGCTTGATGGGAGAGGAGGATGCCAGGCTTCAAAGCAAATGCATTATTTTGATCTTCCTGGCTGTCCAAGGTATGCCTGTGGAGTCTGTCACAGTTCTATGGTTTGCTGCGTTGATATTTGGGTATGATAGATTATCCCTGCATTCTCCTCCGTTTAAAATTTATCTCTTTGTTTCTATATAGCAGTCTGACTTACTGGGTTAGTGATAATGCCCAGTTTAATTAAGAACATAAAATACAGAAAACTACAAGTACGTTGGGCTCTTTTACCAGGATTCCTTAATCCACCACCATTTGTGAGTGCTTTGAGTCTTAAAACCTTAAAAGAACAAATTTAGACAAATACAGAATAAAAACCTCTAAACAAAACCATAAAAGCTAAATAAAATAAATAAATTAATTAATAATCAGTTCAGTCTATTGTCTGAGAAATTAGCTTTGAATATATATCTTGCAAACAGAAGCAGGACCTGTTATTAATTCCCCTGACAGCCAGTGCTTTAATCTCTTCCTGCCTTTTCCCTAGACTGCTCATCATATGCATGGAATCTGTTGATATGGAAAAGGAGTGGTGGTGAATTTCAAACTTGGCATTTAAACAGTAACGATAGCATGTTACTTTGCTAGGATGTAGTGTTATGTTTCAAAGGATGCCTAGCAACATAGAATTTCACCATGAGTCTAACGCACTGTACTAGATTTCAAAGAGTGGTCAAAACACTAAATGAATTTCCAATGAGGAATAGGAAATTCAAACCAGCATTACTCTTAACTGGGTTCATGGTAGCCACTGATACTTCCCATCTTTTAAGGGTGTTCTGTCACTTTGGCAGAGTTGTAGTAGTTCTGCATCTCAGAAAAAGAGGCAAAGATGTAATTTCTCTGTAGCACAATGTAAAATACTGATTGGTATCCAGAAAAAACATTGCAATACTCAAGACAAGGTTTTCTCTACATTTTGTTTTTACAGACTTAACCTTTTATACTAAGCGCTTTCAGCCTTTTAAGGCTGGACAGTGGTATTTGCTGAATGGTACTTGCCATATCTGTGGCATTTATAGTATAGTTTCATCAAGCTACTGATGAACTTTGTGCCAGTTACCTGAATAACTGGTGAAATGGTGAATAAAAAATGCAAATGTAGTGAGTCTCAAAAGAGTGGATGTGAGGTGGGAGTTACACATCTAGAACATTGCATTACACCACTTTAAGGAAATTGCAGTGTATTTTGGCAAACAGAGGACCTGCAGCTTCATTTATTTTCAGCTTCTCATATTCATTGTGTAAGATCAAAACTGATGTTAAGCAGAATCAACCAGGGCTTCTCCTCTACTGAATGACATCCACAGGAGAAGGGAAGGTTTGGGGGAAACAGCTACTTTGAAACTCTTTCTCAGAAAGAATGGTCCAAACCTGCTCTAGAATCTGGTGATATTAGGAGTGTTAGGTTATCCATCCACTTTTTGCTGATAGTAAGTATATGGTAGCTGAATTAACAGTTCAATTGTGTCCTCTTGCTGTTCTAAATTGTCCAAAGACTAACCTATATAAACTTTTCTCATCATATACCCAGGTCCAAGTGCTCTAATTTAGCTTCTCTATGTTTTGGTTTCATATATGGTCATTTTTACCTATCATTCTGTGTGAAACTTGGAATTACAGAAATGTCTTAAGTTAAAACAGTGTTTCTGTGAGCTGAGAATTTACCCCACGTGTCTTAGAATATTGACACACACTTTGGTCTGCAGCATTGCAGCTGCTCAGTGTTTGAAGAATTCAACTAAAGAATAAAATATGTATAAGTGGATTGATAAACATTAGCTCAGTGGACCTCAATTAATTCCATAGTGAAGGAAAGATCATTGTCTAATGATGAAATTCAACAGACTGTATTATACTCCTAGGATGGTAGTATAATGCAGTATTTGCTTAGTTTTAATAGGCTGTGGTATTACCAATGTGGTACTTTTCTTTCAGCTAGTGTGTGCATCAGTCTTTATGTATTTAAGTGAATAGTGTGATGAGTTTTGGAATAGGAAACTTTCTAATTTTACTTCATTTTAATTTTTAGCCAAAGTGAGAGAGAGGAATTTGAAACAGAGTTCAAACAGAAGTATGAACGAGAAAAGATTCTGCTAACAGAGGAAAACAAAAAACTTTCAAATGAACTTGATAAGGTAAGTGCTGATTAGTTGAGTCCCAAGTTTACAACTATTGTATGCTATGTACAAATTAGATAATATAGAGCTGTATTGGTTGTTATTAACTCTTAATTGGTAGCAGAAATTAGTATTACACACAAAGTGGTGATTAATACTTGATTTGAATAGAGAGTATCTACATGCATCTGAACTTGAGAATGTGTGTACATATATATATATATATGCATGTATGTGTGAGAATTGAGTTAAACAGTCTTACAGTTTGGTAAGATTAATTTTAGACAATATATTAAGCAAAAAAAATAATCATTTCATTGTATGACCCAAATATAAAAATACATAGTTAATGATGTGATTACTTAGGATATATTTGCATGGCAATTACTGTGAAATAGCAGAGCCCCTCCCACCCATTGAGATTAAGTGTTACTTTGAGATATTAAAAAATATAAATGATAAGCCATATTAATTGAAGTGTGCTGGGAAAGGAATAATTGTTTCATGCATTTAGATTATCTCTTTATTGTTCATTTTGACAGGTTATTCAAGTTCATTGTGGATTAGTCAAGTCTTGCTAAACTTGTCTATTCTTTTTGTAATGCATTACATTTTCAAAAAATATGATGAAAGTACAATGTTCTTCAAAGTAAGCATGTTTGCATGTCAGTGTTTGAATTAAAGTATATTTTCATACCAGTATAAGATGTATACTATATATGCCTGTATGTAGGCTTAGTCCAAGAACAGTAAGAGACTGGTCACTTTGATAGTTTTTCTACTGCATCTCTTTTTCTTCCCTTTTTTTTTTCTTTAATTTGGTTAGCCTTATATTTTTAATGTCAAATGACATTTAATAAGTAGGCATATTTAAATCATAAGCCCATTTAAATTATAAATATGGAGTGAAGTAGTCATGTTAGGAGTAAAAAGCAGAATGCATTTAAAACTGATTATTTTCCATCATTTGGATTTCTTAATGTATTTCAGTATTAAAAAATGCCTTTCAGATGAGATTCATTCTCCTAAGCAGGCCTTATAAAGTCTTCCTAGGTAATCTCTGATTTCAGTTTGACTTTCTGAATAATTATTTGGCATCATGAAGGTTTAGTTCCCAGTACAAACAAAGGTTAGCTGTGGCTTTTGTCTTGCAAAATGTGCACGTATGAGTGACAGCTATGTGAATGCGAGAGGTTAATTGCAAGGTATAACATATTGTTCTTACAGATGTGCATTTAATTTCAATTTCCCTGTCTGTAAGTAAGTAAAATGAAAAAATAGGGGAATGTGAGACACCTGGAGAATCTCAGGACTGACTCCTGCCTGTGTCTGTTAAACCTGTCATTCTCCATGGTTAC